GAATTGGGAGAACCTCGTTTTCATATATATAATTAATACAAAAATAATACTTTTACATTACACATATTTACTTTATACATTTCTAATATTTCATCATTTATTGCGTCTAATATAAAGGATTAATAAAATAATAACTTTATAGTCGTAATGTATTAATTTTAGAACACAATGAATTTATATATTTTTTTCATTTTGAACTATTAAAGCATAGCTTACCTTTTAAAACAGTTGATAATTTCTTTGCTTCTTCCTTTTTACACTAATACGTATTATAAATATATTTTTATATTTATATAACACTATTTTTTTTTTACTATTGCTTATTTCCATATGGCAAATGAATCCTACAATTTTTACTAAAATGATGTCACCACAACCTTAAAATAGTATAAATTAAAAAATTAAATGTTATTAAGATAAAAAATAATTAACATGATAGATTGAATCTCTTGCTTCTGTTGGAAGAGTGTATATTAAAATTCGCCTGCATCACAAATGCATGCTAAACTTGAACATTATGATATATACTATATTTTAGGTATTTATTCTTTTATCATTAAACTAATTCATATTAATGTAAATAATAATATATGAAATCATAAAATACGATTGGGAGTACCTATATTTTACATCATTATTCATTTTCATTTATCTCAATATTTTTTCATTTTATTTATATAATATATTTTATCGTTTGAATTACGCATTTCTTTGAATTCATCAAAGATGTTCTTAAAACGTTTACATAATGACATCTCATTTTGATGACATATGCATTATAGCTTGAACTCATGTATGAGTCATATGCTTAAGAATCCGGGAAAATAGTTAACAACACTGGAATTTGTGATTGACGTTAAATTCAAAAGTATATTATTAAAAATTTTTATCATGTTTTTACAATTCTTGGACACCCCTTCTCATCCCTATTAGAACCAGCATATACACTATTAAAAAAATTTTAAGTTTGTTTTTTTTCATAATTTTTGTCATCCTGGGACACAATTGTTTCATAAACATGAATACCTCAAAAAACATGACACTTAAAAAAAGTTAGTTATATAAAAACATATGATTTCTTTTAGAAAAATCCAATTATTTAGTATTGAAAATCAATATTAATATTTTAAACCTTAAAAACTCATTTTAAGAGAAAAATACAGTATGCGCTTAAATCGGGATGTTATAACATTTTGTTATAAGTTATATTATTGAAACGAAATAATAAAGATTTTTAATATATATATTTATATATATGAGAAATAATGGGTTTAAATATGTTTATGTTTTAGCTACATTATTTTTCTATTGATTATATATAAATGTGTTTTTTACAGTTATAAATGTTACTGATTAATAAAGAAAATTAAAATAAAATAGCATTGCTAGTAAAATATACAATGTAAATTAAAAAGTATACGAATTCTTATATAAAACAATAATATATATGTGAAAAACAAACACTGCAATCCTTAACGGAATATAGTAAAATTGTAATTGTTAATAAGTCCCTTAATTGTAATGACAGATGACAAAAGACATTTTTTGATATATAATAAATTCTAATTCTTCCTGTAATTATTATTATATTTATTTATTTTAAATTATAACTTATTTCTTAATCTGAATATGTATGCTTACTTAAGTTATAAATTTTTTCCTCAAGTAATAATTTACACAGTTTTATAATTTTAAAGGAGATAAAGCTGGAATTCTTTCATTTTTTTTCCACTCTATCTTATTATCAAAGCAAAAATCAGAATTACATATGTTAGCCAATACCATAATAAAGGGGTGCAATTTACATAAACATATTTTTTTGTATTAAGAATTATACTATATATACGTATAGTGTATTCGTTTAAATAAAATATATTCATTATATAAAATGTATTTTTAATTATATGTAGATAACTTCAAAAATGTTATGCCACTTAAAGTTGTAAAAAAAACAAAGGGTAAATTTCTAGATATATAACAAAAACATATTTTTTTTTGCATTAAGTATATACTTATTCTCTTATACCTCCGTTAAAAAATTATGTTAATGTAAAATCACATCATTTTTTAATAACACATTATGAAGATATTATACAAATAAAGTTCACTTTTTTTATTAGTTATAATTAATATAGGGTATGATATTCTAGAATCTAAAAAAATATAATATGTTTAGACAATTTATATGTATTATATATTATACAGAAACTGTATTGTAAATAGTGTATTAAGAAAATACGAAAAAAATAATAATTTCCTTATCACATGATTACTGTAAAAATATAATTTTATATTTACATAACCATGAGAAATAAATATTTAATATATAACGGTTTATGTATATTTCATTGATGTAATTATGTATAAAAATTATATAAACTATTTGTAATACATGCCTTTTATAATTTATTAAATTATGCGTTAAATTGTATTAGATAATAACATAAGTAAACATATGATTATGACATGCATTAATTTTTATAGATAATAATCTACAAAACACTAAATATTATACATTGATCCTAGAAATATCTATTCCTGAAAAATGTATAATATTTTTTTCATTTTTTTTTTGAAACATATACAGAGCGCAACCCGTAAATGTTAATGCTGAGGGGATGTTGTTGTTTTATAAAATTATACCAAACATTATATATATCGAGGAATTCAATATATTGGCTTTTACCAAGCACGGAGAAATATTTTTTAAAATCCCAAATAATGTAAAGTATTTCAATAAAAATCCCCCAATGCAAAGAATGCATAATGAAGCAGCAAAACAATTTTCCAAAAATTGCATAAATATGTGGTGTTATATGTACAAATACAGATATGAAATATATATTATACTTCTTAAATATGAAAATATTAACTCAATAAAAAAATAATTAATAAAATATTAACATATATAGTAGTAAAATTATAATCATCCTTTTATCCAAATCATATAAATTTTATATGGAGTTATGTATTCTACCGTGAAACAAAAATATATATCCAAATGTTATATAATGTAAGAATTACATGTACAAAAAAATTTCTATTCATTTAAATGGTACCTTATAATGTGAAATGTAACGATTTTTTTATAAAATCAATTAAATGTAAAAAATATTAATGGAAAAATGACAGAAGTACTTAAAGAATACCAAAAAATTTTGCTACTGTAATATTATATGTGATAATTGAAAATATCATAGGTATCTTAATCTTAGATGAAAATCATAGGATTAGCTTAAAAAATATATGAAAAGGAATGGATTCATATATTGTACAATTGATTTAGGAATCACAAATTACAAAACATTTATTGTATATAATTTGATGCTCCAAATAGTTGGGGAGAGGTTTACACTAACTTTTGTGTGTGAAAAAAATAAAGTTCATCCCCCTATATTTTTCTTATGAAAAATAGTGTTGAAAATATGAACGAGTATAGGAAAATATATTTGCGATGCAACCTGGAAATATTGCATAAAGTTGGATAAGAAAAAAAATATATTGAAATCTAAAAAATTACATTTCAGAAATGTTGCTTCAATTCTGAAAAAATAAGACACTGTGTTAATACCTAATAAAGCGTCTATTTGTTAGTTGCACATATTTATTCTATGCGTGTTCGTAAAGCAAGATGTAACCCTATGAAAGAAATATATTTATTTTGACATTTTATTGCTTATTTTTTCTGCGTCATTCTTATGAATATATATTATTATTATTTTTTTTTTTCGTTATTTTGATGAATAGTTTGTTTGGATTATTCACTGGATTCATTTGTTTGTATCATACTATGGCACTTTTTTATTTTTCCATAACCTACTTAATATTTTTTTTTAATGATGTTTTGAAAGAATATTCTAATATGTTAAGCTACACTTTGAGCATTTTGCCTTTCTTTTTTCATGTATATCATACAGATAGAAAGGGATGAAGATGATATTACAGTTTTCCCTTATGTGTATATAAGTGGAGCTTGGGGATAGTTGGGTATATATATACATAACCACTTTTAGTTAAATCACAAAATTTCGATTTCTTTGTTATGGGAACATGACATAAGTTTCTCAAACGGATCACATAATCTAACGTTAAAATTAAGGTAAAATAGAGAAATAAAAGTAAATATATGTGGAAAATTTCGAAATATTATACATTCAATTGTGACGATGTTCTGGTTGTGGGTTATCCTAATCCGTACGAATTTAGGAGCACTTCATGTTGTGCGTTTCTTTTTCATAAAATTAGAGATTATATATTTGAAATTTGGTTAGAAAGGATTACCTCCTTATGCAAACAATTTTTTGTTTTCTTTGTATTTATTAATTTTTTCATATTTTTTTATGCTAAATTTGTCATATAAGCATGCATCTGGGTCAGCTTAAGAAAAAATATACAAAAATCAAATGAAAAACGGAATATTTGCAAATTTTCGTAGTAAATTTTAGTTTGTCAATGTTTTGAGTGTATAACGAACTAACGGATAAACCTTATTGCAGAAGTTCATTCTTCTCTGCATTATGAAAAAGAACAAATGGGAACATTGAAAAATTGAGGACATAGATAAATGAATCAATCAAAGAACGGGAAAATAAATAAACAAACGAACAAAATGATAAACAAATGAACGAAAGACAAAAAAAGGATAAATATTTTTGTCACATATATTTTTCTTTCTCTTGTGTTCACACAAAATTAACAATTTGAATGCTTATTAAAGCACATGGTTCACTTTTGCTAAAAAATCAAAAATGATAAATAATTGTGTAGCATATTTTTTATTCAATAAATTGTGAATATATCATTTCGTATGCAAAGAAGTTAGGAAATAACATACAAGCACAAGTACATATATGTGAAAATAAAAATATGCATGTATATGCATAAAATTACTCTCGGCAGGAAAAAATGTTAAGCATATTCAAACTGTCAACTTCCATTTTGTTATTTTAATGAAGCTCATTTTTTAGCTCTCATATGTCACTTTTCTATTTTCTAATATGTTAATATTTTAGTATTCTTTTCATCGAAGGTTTTTTCCATAATTTTATTCCGTTCTTGGATTTTATTTCAACATATACAAACATAAACTGAAAAATGTGAATTAAGAATAATGTTACGAAAAAAATTGAAAATGGAGAGACTAAATAAGAACCTATATATACTAGAAGTAATATGGGGACTAAATGTTTTACATGAGGAATAGATATTTTATGTTTGCCCTTAAATTTTAAATTCTTTTTATGCATATGCCCATTATTAAGATCATCGTCAATGATACTACTCTTCGATTTGAATAAATCTATCAATGCTCTTTCAGCGCTTGAATTTATTTTTTTTGTATACATATTATGTTTTGATCTACAATTTTCTTTTTTTCTATTCTTATTACTTTTCATTTTTGTAAAAGTTCCATCATTTTTACATGCTTCTAATTTTTTCCTAATTCTTTCGTAATTTTCTAGGTCTCCAAACTCTTCAGTATAATCGTTTTTATCTAAATATCTTCCTTGTATTTTTTCATCATAACCTGTATTAGTGATTTCTTCTTCATCTTTTTCAACATACTCAAGAATATCATCAAGTTGCAGGGAATCTAATGTCTCTGAAGAACCACCTGTATGACTTCGTACGTTTAGTGAATGTCTAGAATAATCATTATTACTTACGGCATCTAAAGAACCTGTATAATCAACATAGTTCCCTACAATTAAATTTTTTTTTAATTTTTTTTCTCTTTTTAATGAATCA